TGCTGAGGTGAAATTCAGTGCAGTCCTGTATCGTGATACGTATCGTGGCATCTGTACCGTGATACGTATCGTATCGTGACTTTGCTGGTGATACACAGCCCTAATAAAGACGCAGTGAGACGAGTGTGTGTGTGTGTGTGTGTGTGCATATGCACAGACATGTCAAGACCAGGTGCTTTGATATGCATGACCTCAGCACTACTGACAAGAGTGTGTGTGTGTGTGTGTGTGTGTGTGTGTTGTAAAAGGAACTCTTCCTCTCCAGCTGTGTAACTCCACCTTCACACACACACACACATTCCAGACACATTCCTTTCTTTTTCCCCGGATCATCTGAGACGCTCTACACACTCGCTACAGAACAGCCAGGCATTAAATGGCAGGAAGTACATGTTTGAGAGGTGGCACTTCCTGTTGGACAGGAGGGTGTGCGATATCACGATTTTTGATTGTGGATGATTAAAATGTCTCCAGGATCTGCCTTTGAAGAAATATCGTAGTATCGCGCTACAGCGAGCGCACATTCTATCAGTTGCAGTTCTGGCGCCACCGTCTCAATATACTGTACAACACCCCATACATTCACATTAAATGTTACTCAGCGGTAGAGTTACACTCACGGGACACCGCACTTATTCAAAATCACAAAAGTGCATTATTTGCATGTGCTTTAAAGTCTTGCTGGTTAAATATCATTTCATTCTGACATGCACTTTTTCTGAGCATTTACACCTGAAGCGTGCGCACACTAAAAAGCCTGTCAAACAGCATCTGATTACTGGACTGGGTTATCTTTCGCATCTGATTGCGCTAATACTGTCAAAAACACTTTGGTGTTTACATATAAACAGTTGGTTATGTCTAAAGTGAAAGTAAACAGTTTAAAGAAAAACGGCTGCTTGCAGCTCTTAAAGTGACAGCAGACTAATAGTACTAAACATGCTGCCGCTTGTCATTAAAGGGACAGTTCACCAAAAATTTTTAATTCTGTCATTATTTACTCACTCTCATGTTGTCCCAAACCTGCATTCATTTCTTTCTTGTGCTAAACACAAAAGACGATATTTTGCAGAACGTGAGTAACCAAATAGGTCCCCATTGACTTTGATAATAGGAAAAAATATATACTATGGAAGTCACTGGGGACCAGCAACTGTTTGGTTGCGACATTCTTCAAAATAACTTTTGTGTTCAACAGAAGAAAGAAACTCATTCAGGTTTAAAACAACTTGAGAGTAGCCTAAATGATGACAGAATTTTCATTTTGGGGTGAACTGTCCCTTTAAATGTTAATAAAACAACAAAACAGAAAAATCACTCACTGCTCTTGACTGAAGACCTGGAGGTTTTATCACCTGGAGGTTTTTTCCCCAGACAGTCTTACTATATGCGGGCGGCAAAGAGTCTGACCTCACAAAGGATTATCAGTCAAAATCTGTCTGTCCATGAATGTACAGAGTGTACAATAGTAAAACTGATTTACTCAGGAACTGAACACAAAACAATGAGCATTGTATGAAAATATGACAGGCTGAACTATAAAAACAACGAATACAAAAAAAAAAAAGGTCATGTAACAGTGGACACAAATTGTAAAAAATGATTTCTGCATAATAAGACACAAACTCTACATAATAAAACATGTAATTGATATTAAAGGAACAATTAATTGCTGAAAATCCCTCAGGCCATCCAAGTTTAAGATGAGTTTGTTTCTTTTGGAGAAATGTAGCATTACACCACTTGTTCAGCAATGGATGCTCTGCAGTGAATGGGTGCCGTCAGAATGAGAGTCCAAACAGCTGATAAAAACATCACAATAATCCACAAGTAATCCACAGCACTCCAGTCCATCAGTTAATGTCTTGAGAAGCCAGAAACTGTGTGTTTGTAAGAAACAAATCTATCATGATGTTTTTAACTTCAAACTGTTGCTTCTAGATAAAACTAAGAGTGAAAAAGTGGTCTGGTCTGAATCAGGAGAGAAATCTGCACAATATCAAACACCGTTTGCAGCCCAAAACAGCTCTAAACAAATATGTGGCTGGATTTTGATGTGAGAGACAACAGGAGACAGACTTTTTTTTACTGGAGGAAGTATTATTAATATGGATTATGAACTTAAATTTTAATAGGAAAAAAACAGTTTGGAGTTAAAAGGTCTTAATGATGGATTTGATTCAGCTTTTGTCTTCTCCAGATGTTAACTGATGGTCTGGAGTGGTGTGGATTATTGTGATGTTTTTATCAGCTGTTTGGACTCTCATTCTGACGGCACCCATTCACTGCAGAGGACCCATCTGCATTTTGCATGACCTGAGGGTGAGTACATTTTCAGCAAATTAGAACATAAATTGTCATTAAACTCAAACTGAACCGTCAGTCAAAAGCAGATGTGGTCAGAGGTCAGACTCTCTTTTCTCTAGGTTTAAAAATATCAGTAACACCGAGTAAGACACGTTCCGTCTGTCTGTGATGACAGAGACCACAGTTCACACTCCTTCACAACACTGCAGTTTCACTCTACAAGTGAAAATTATGCAAACGTGAGCACATTTTATAATCATGAAAGCATCCTATTCTGATGTTCTTGTTTCCTGAGTATCCTGAACACTGATGCACTCCGGTCCTGTGAAGACTCAAACAATCCACCAGGACAGTGCTTCTACACCGGCACCGCTGGAGACAGACGGAGCGCTTGACACACAGGCGAGAGACTCTAACATCAAACATCACCTCACACAGGTGAGATTCTCCATGACACAAACCCTCATATGTTCAAGTCAACAAGACAAGTTAAACTGAGCCTGAAAACTCAAAGGAGAAGCTGTGAACTCTGGAAAACTGGGGGAATTTCTGCACTTTGACCCACTGAGCAACAACATCCAAACCTGCCGATGTCCGAGTCTGATGCGACAGCGGTCAATGACAAACATCACGTACACTCCGAAACCAGCACTTTAACCTCCAGTAGTCTAGATAGACTTGACAAATGTTGCTCATTAATAAACCTTCTCAGATTCAACGCTCGAGTTCATTAGACCTGATCCTGATCCACTTTGTCACATCATTCATTATTCAAACATGAACTCAAAGCTCGGATCATGAGGCTGTTTGCCTGCCTATTTTAATCCAAACAAAACAACATTCTCATCGATCAGTATCACCACAGAACTGTAACCGCTAAACCACAGCACCCCACATTAGACCCTTAATGCTGATATTGGGACGATATATTGTTCAATGGTGACTGGAATGAATGCATCATGGAATAAAACCAGTTTATGTTTTGTTAACATAAACCTTTTTGGGATTTGAACCTACAGACTGAGAAAGCAGAAGTGATACTTAACCACTAAACGGCAGCACTCCATATGGGAGCAATTTAGTATATTTATAGCCAATCTGAAACGGATGGGATTCAAACCTACAACCACTGGGTTATCATTTTTAACCACTAAACCACACACTCTGAGCAAGTGTTTAACTAGATCAATCAGATGCTGAAAGTTGACATAGACTTTAACCACTAAACCACTAGATAACGCTACTAAACAGAGTAGGGTTAACTGGATTGCATTTAAACCCTTAATCCATTGCTTTAATAAAGTCACTTTAGGTTTCTTACCCAGCTAAACCTGGTTCCTATGAATAATTCTGATGTTTGAACCTTTGGGTCACCAAACCTGATCATTTACCACTAAACCACAGCATTTAAAAACTTCAAACACATAATCTGCTGCAAGACAAAGGCTTTAAAAGTGATTAACTAGATTAACCAGGTGCTAAAAGTTGACAGTTCTTAGTTTTTAACCCCACTAAAACACCCATTTAAAACCATAACCAACTGGTTTAAAGTCGATTCTTTTCGAACAGTCCATTCTCAAGTTAAAACCTTTGGGTCACCAACCCAGATCCTTTACTACTAAACCACAGCATCTATCATTCCTGTCCCTTATACCTTCATCTTTAACCACTAAGCCACATCAGCTCACCTTTAAAGACACAATGGCCTTGTGATTCAAACCCACAAACTACCCACGCCGTCCAGCATTTAAACAACATCTAATGACTCCAAACACTGGTTATGGATGAGTTCGTGATGTTTCTTACCCGGCTGGACCAGATGCTGATCTGGGTCTCGGACAGCACCGCCAGGTAGAAGCGTTGCGCGCTGGGCTCGATCAGGAAGGGCCGCTCGCTGCTCCGGAGCGGGCAGAGGAGCCTCCGCGGCCAGCCGCTCAGAAAATACATCACGATCCGGTTCCGACCCAAATCACTGCGACACCGGGACGGACAGACTCCCTCCAGAGGCCTCCATCCACCAGAACCAAACAACAGTTCGACTCGGGTTCGTATTCAGTCCGGGATCATATCAGCGGGATCCGGCGTCGGTTCTGACGATCTGAGTACAAAATCCGCTTTATTTGCTGCTGCTGCAAGAGAAGAAAAGCCCTGTAACGGAGCCGCGGAAGCAGAACCGGGCCTCGGCTCGGTGTCGCGGGGTTTCGCGGCTCTCACTGCGCGACTGGATCGCTGGACTCTGTAATCCAAAGAGAAGTTTTGGATCCGAATTTGTCCCATGAATCCTCCACCGTCGCCATCTTTAGTCTCTTATTTATCCCCGATCTGCTCGCTGCTACTAAACGCCTCAGAACCGAAACGGCATTTACTCGCGCGGGCATGACCGTTACCGCCTGAAGGGGGCGCACTGCGGCCCACAATGCTTTGCGGTTAACGGAAAACCGATTTCAAACGGACTGAAATGTATACATTTAACCCCAATTTAATTTTTTTGCCTTATTTTTGACCTTATCTCTGTTAGTCACGTATGTTATAACATGTAAATATTTTTGTTTAGCTTTTATTATTGTTAAAATTATTATTGAGCTTTAAAACACTTGCAGCTAATCGTGTCATTAGCATCATAACCGGAAGTGGTTCTCATCACAAGTATGTCGCGCGCTCTCGGTCTTGCTCACTGAGCTATAATAGAGTATATAGTCATTATATATAGATCAGTGGTCTTGCTACGTTTCTGATATTCGTGCCGACGCATGTTGGCGTAAAACGTCAGTTCCGTTCGGTTCGAGGTTCAGGACTCTGGCGCCTCCTGCCGGTGAAAGTGAGTAATGCGCCACAGCCAAAATTACATTGCCTATTGGCAATCATTATTTCAACTCAAATAAATAAGTAAAAATAGCTAGAATAAAAAAATTATATAATACCTATGATAATTATAAATAGCTAAAATGTATTTAAAAAGTAAATATAATTTTAAAAATATATTTAAACAGATTTTAAAATGAAAAACAAATAAAAAAATACATTAAAATTCTGTGTGTGTGTGTGTGTGTGTGTGTGTGTGTGAGTGT